GATTCAGTTCTTCTCATTTTTCTATCCCTTTCCCCACAAAAAAACATCTTAAAAATCCACACAATTTTCCAGAAAAATAAAAAAGTTGTCAACTTTTTTATTTGCATTTTTCTCAAAAAAAAACACACAGCTGCATACTGAACAAATATTCAAAAAGTTTTGGTATGTGTTGACACATACCAGATGGTCCCTAACACGTTTTCAAGAATTTTTTTTCGAAATTTTTTTTCCGAAAAAACCAGAAAAATCATTTTTGGGGGGAAACGAGTTTAATGGACCTTTAAAGTGAGGTTCCGTTTTTCTTTTAAGTGGAAAAATAAGGAAAAATAATTAAAAATCTTCGATAAACGGTTTTGGTGTATACCGCGAAGCTAAAAAAAGAAATCTTTGACTACTGTATTTTTCCCCGGTTTTTCTTCAAGTCTGTATTTCTTGACCAATTTAACTGGATATAGATATCGTTTTGGAATGAGCAAAAAAAAAGAAGAAAAGTCCCTCTTTTTTGAATGTCTCTGAAATTTTTTGGATGAAAATCTATGCAATTTTGAGAAACTTGAGATCAAATGCACCATTTTCGGAAAAAAATTAGCTAAAAAATAGTTTAGCCTTCAAAGGAATCGAACTTTTCAATCTTCAGCTCCATGGCCATCTCTCTCACCCATTGCGCCACGCGGACACCGCGAATAGACCTAATGGTTTTCAAGGGAGAGGAAGGCGGAAGAAGTCAAGAACTACAAAGTGATACTATTAGGATTGCTGTACCTTGCCTACAGTGCGTTCAATAACTACAGAAAAACAGATTTGAAGAGAAACTGATACATTTTTATAGGACTTTTCAATGTTCAGAGACAGACCTTTTAAAACAATTTTCAAAAAAATACAGTAAACAAAGGCTTTTTTAGCTACGCGGTATCAATTACAATAATTGATGCGAGACCAGTTTCATTAGGATCATTACTTTTGGACCAACTAAATTGGAAATGATAGTAGAACTCAAGAACTACAGATTGGTATTACTTGGAATACTGTATCTTGTCGATGAACAAAATTACAAGCCTTGAAAACTGTAACCACATAGCTGAGACGGTTTTTGGTTTCGAACCTTTTATAGGACATTGAGAATTACTATAAAAAATGTATCAGTTTCTCTTCAATCTGTATTTCTTCACCAATTCAACTGGATATGATAGAAAAACACAAGAACTACAGAATGACATTACTTGGAGTACTGTACTTTGCCTATGAGCAAAGTTACAAACCAAAAACCGTCTCAGCTACACGGTCACAATTTTCAAGGCTTGTCACTTTGTTCATCGACAGGAAACAGTATTCCAAATAGTACGAATTTGTAGTTCTTGAGTTATTCTATCATGTCCGATTGAATTGATTCGAAAAAAAATGATCCTGAAAGAATGAGAGTTATTTTTTTTTCGAAAAACCGAAAAAGTAATTTTCAGATTTCAAAAATTTTTAAAAAAATTTTCGTTCTGAAAGTCTGAAATTAAAAAATTAAAAAATTCAGAAATTCAAAAATTCAAAAATTCAAAAATTCAAAAATTCAAAAATTCAAAAATTCAAAAATTCAGAAATTCAAAAATTCAAAAATTCAGAAATTCAAAAATTCAAAAATTCAGAAATTCAAAATTAGAAAAAAAAATCTGAAAAATCTGAAAACCCTGGAATCTTCAGATTTCAAAATTTAAAAAAAATTTTCCTAATATAAATTTCAAAAATTAAGCTCATTTCAAATATTTTTGAATGATTTATTGTTCATAGTAGAAGATAAATATCTCTTCGCTTTTCTTTTTCCTTTCCTCTCCAACCCATTTTTTTCATTTCCTCATTTTTTCCTCCCTTTTTTCTTTTCTTTTTTAAATATCCAAACTCTTTTTCAAAAAACTCAATTTCATTTTATTTACTACTCAATTTATCTTCCCGCTTTTTTTCACTAGTTCAGGATTTTGTGTCTTTTGAGTACTCATCACTTTTTTGGTTTCAAAGATTCCAGGATTTCCAGATTTTTCAGTTTTTTTTTCTAATTTTGAATTTTTGAATTTCTGAATTTCTAAATGTCTGAATTTCTGAATTTTTGAATTTCTGAATTTTTGAATTTCTAAATTTCTGAATTTCTGAATTTTTGAATTTTTGAATTATTGAATTTTCGAATTTTCGAATTTTTAAAATTTTAGAATTTTAGAATTTTAGAATTTTAGAATTTTAGAATTTTAGAATATTAGAATTTTTGAATTTTTGAATTTCTGAATTTTTGAATTTTTTAACATAAAGTCTTTTTTCCCGAAAAGTGTCACTTCCAGGACATCTTTTTTATCTTTTGTCTTCTTTTTTCGAATTTTTTCACATGACTTCTTTTTTAGAACAGCATAACTTTTCGGGGAAAAAAAAGTTGAAAAATTACAAAAAAATTTTTTTTTGGAATTTTAATTTTTTGGGTTTTCGGGAAACAATGGAAAAACAGAAGCATAAAGATTGTCTTATTTTTAGAACTTGCAGTTTCACAATACTAGAGTTTAGAGAACAAATTTTGAAAAACTGAAATTGTTTTTTTTTTCAAAATTCCTCGATTTCTGATCGATTTCAGTTCATTTTCTCCCATCATCATCTATTCAACCTTTTCCCTATTTTTCCCGTTTTTTCAAATGTGGATAATTGAATCGACTCCTCCCACCCGATGCTTTTTTTCAGAAAAAATTTCGAAAAAAATTCAAATTCCCGCCAAATAAACTAAAGTGCCTAATTAGTATTTTCTCAATAATGACGCTAGTTCTAAAGATGTTTTTGCTAAAAATCTACTTATTTTGAATAGCTTTTTTGAAAATTATTGGATTTTTAGAATTTTTTTTTGCTTATTATTCAAAAAAATATGTTAACTTTGTGATCTTTTTTTCAAAAAAAAAAAAAAAAAACTGAGCCAAAATTTTTTTGATTTCTGTTCTCATGGGACCAACCAAAAAATAAAGAATCATGTTCCGAAACAAATTTTTCCCAAGAATATTTTTTATTTTCAAATAGAATTTGACATATTTTCCAAAATATAATTCAGCTTAAATTATTTTGAACAAACCATAAAATTGAAATTCTCCAAAAAAAACTTTATTTTCAGCCAAGTTTCTTGATTTCAGGCTCAAAATTTCTGGAATTTGCCAAATTTTTCAATGAACGTATTCACAAAAACACACAATAAGAATTCCAGTCATTTTAAGCCAAAAATCATGAAAATCGGTTGAAAATGAACCACGTTATAGAATTTCGCTCATAAATTTCTTAATTTTTATCCGATTTCTGCAATTTTTAGCTTAAAATGTTTGAAATTTTTTTTGCAATATTTTGTTTAGTGCGTTCACAAAACTGTTGTAAACAATTCCAGACATTTCTAGCCAAAATTCATAAAAATTGGTTGAAATGAATAAAGCTATCTGATTTAAATGATTTTAGGCTCAAAATGACTGGAATTTTTTAGATTTTCAAAAAAAAAAATTTAAAGTTTCTTGGAAAAAGCAATTCCAAACTTTTCCAGCCGAAAATCGAAAATCGATTTCTTTAAATTTTCAAATCTTCAGGAATTTCTTCATTTCCATTCGATTTTTGTGATGTTTAGCTTGAATTACGTGAAATTCGTCAAATTTTTAAATGAATGTTTTCAAAAACAATTCAAAAACAATTCAGAAACGATTTCAGACATTTTAAGACAATAATCATAAAATATCGGATGAAAATGAATTTAATTACGATTACATAAAAATTTCAAAACCTTGATGTACTTAAAAAATGTCAACAAAAAAATGTCGGACATTTCAAAGGAGGCCTGACATGAAAATTTTCAAAATTCTATTTTTTTTTATATATGCAACAGTACAGTCAGAAAATAACAATGAACACAAAACCATGACTCAATGTTACTGTACAAGCTATAACGCGACCGTTCTTCCAAGCGGCGCCCACTCCTCGTTTCATAATCGTTTTAGAGGCAGAAGCCGACAAGCGCTGTGTGGTGTAAAGGAGAGCGCGCTTGTCTATCAACCGTGCATCGCGGGTTCGACTCCCATGTGTGTGTTTTCGTTTTTTTCTTTCTGTTTTCATGCGGCGACATCCTAGAATGGCCGAATAACGAGAAAAAGTCGGGAGTAAGTGCCAAACAGTGAAGAAATCTAGTGTATTCTAAAAAAATAAATGCTCGTCAAGTAGCGCGCATTGGTCGCAATCGCACGATTTTCCGTCAGAATACATGATCTCGCCCCGAAAAAACCCCGTAGACTTTCGTGTCTGGCCTTCTTTAAGCCGAAAATTCGTAAAAGTTGGTTCAAAATGGACAAAGTTCGAGACATAAAAGTAAATTTTCTGGAAATTTTAATTTTTAAATTTTTCGAATTTTTCAAAAACCTGATTTTTTTTTCTCTTCCCAACTGACCACTACTTCTTTCTCTCCCTTTTTTTCTCTCTCTCTCTCTTTTCCTAGTATTTTTCCCCCAAAGGGACCACAAAAAATGCTCCGTGAGCCAATTAAATTTACAATTTCCAATCCTCCTCTTTTTTTTGGGAAAACCCCAGATAAATTTTCCAACGATTTTCGGTCATTTTATACTTTTAATAGTGTTATGTTTCAAAATTTCTAATCCGGGAACTTTTTCAGATTTTTTCAAAAAAAAAGTGAAAGTTTGTACATTTTCAAATTTTTTCAAAAAATCGTAACTCTCTTCATTTTTGTTTAAATTTTAAAAAAATTATATTTTTGAAATCCTTGTAATTAGCCTGTTAAAATGAATATAAAAATGTCTTATAAAACATATTTGCTTTTCTCATTAGAGCAAATTTGCACTTTCTTCAAGGAATTCTCAATTTCCAAAGATCATTTTTTTGAATGAAAATTTAATGACCATATTATTCTTTATGAAAAATTATTTCCTCTTTTTTTTGTTTTTCAGAATGTTCAGAATTTTCAGCAAAAACAGTTTTTCTGAAATTTTTTATTTTTCATATTCCAGATGCTTCTCTATCCCTGCTTTCTAATTCTATGGCATATTTTATCCCCCTCTTCTCATCACGTCATCGCCACGTCACATCCGGTAAGGATTATTCGGATTTCCAGGCCACCTGGAAATTTCTAGTCAGCAAGTTCAACCTAGCGTAATTTGGCTGGAAATCAAGGTTTTAAGCTCAAATTTGGATAGGAAACTTATGAATAAGTGGAATTTTTTTCTATTCTAACAAGTGGCCTAAAAATACAAGTTTTGGGGTTTCCTAGGCCACAGGCCATCCGGTCTGAAATTTCTAGGCCAGAAAGTTCAAATTAGCATTACTCGGTTGAAAATTAAGCTTTCAAACTCAAATTTGATCAGAATCTTCATTTGAAAACGAGAATTTTTTAAAAAATATTCACAGGTGGCCTAGAAATCCAAAAATTTGAATTCCTAGGCCACCAAACAAAAACTCAACTTCCAGGCGCGAACTCCTATGCGAAACTTGTATGAACATTTGTTTTTGGACTATGTCAAGGAAATTCGTCCAGTTCGAAATGAATCCGAAACGCTGAAAGTGGAAATCAAATTTTGGCTGAAACAAATTCTGAAAGTCGATGAGCGAGATCAAATTGTAAATATCTATTGTTGGCTGGAACTATATTGGCAAGATGAAACGCTCACTTGGGACCCCAAAAAGTTTGGAAATCTGACAAGAATTCATGTTCCAGCGCATAAAATATGGAAACCAGATGTGCTGGTGTATAATAAGTGAGTAGCCAACCCGAAAAAAGAAAGCAAAAAAGAGTTGCCCACTGCTGGAATCGAACCAGCGTCGCCACGGCCACAACGTGGAGTACTAACCACTATACTAAGTGGGCCGAGAGAGACAGAGGCAGAAAGAGTTTATAAAGGAAGGGCGAGGCGGTGGTGGAGAGACCAAGCGAGGATGGANAGGGGAAGTGAGGAGTGTGTGTGTTGGGGAAATTTTGGGGGGAGGAATTTTNAAAAAATTAACAAAAAAATTNGGAAATAATGAATTTTTTNAGNGCAAACATGAATGTAGAAGAAAATGAAATGGAAACAAATGCGATTGTGGACCATACTGGAAGAGTTATGCTTTTTCGATCCATGATTACAGATATTAGCTGTAATTTGAACCTACAACAGTTTCCATTTGATCAACAGGTAATTTTTTTCCTTTAAAATTTTTTAAAATGTAAAAATTCAAAATTTCAGATCTGCTTCGTCACATTTGCTTCCTGGAGTATGGATGGAAGCAAACTAGACTTGTCTGCAACACCGAAAACCGACAATTTGGAGTTATATATAAGAAATACCGAATGGGGATTGACAGATTTCAGGTACTTTTTGAAAAAATTTAGGAAAAATTGTTTTTGTAAAATTCAAAAAATTTGATTTTTCTCATTTTCAAAAATTTCCTCTCTCACCACCACGCCCGCGGCGTCCACCAAATTTCCCCCGTTCTTGTACGCCTTGTGATGGACCTTTCCCTGTGCGATGCTGTGGTGCAGTGGTAGTAGTCTTATTTTTGAAACGATGACTCCCAAGTTCGATTCCACTTACAAGGGAACCATGTTTAGCCTTCTTCTCAGAATTTTTTCTAAATTTGCTCATTCATAGTTCCGAATACGGGCTTTCTCGTGGTGTTTTTGGTTTACTGCACAAATTTCTAGAAGTCGAGAAAATTCCATCTGAAAATATGCTGTTTTTTTGCTCTCCTCCTTCCCTTCCACTTCCACCATAGGAATCATAAGTTTCGGGTTCGATTCCGTCACTGTCCATTTTCGTTTTTCTTTTTTTCTTCTTTGATGTTGGAGGAACACTTTGCATTTTTTGAAAATCAAAAATATGTTTGCTCTATTATTTCAGTAGGGAAAACCTCGAAAAAAGCGATATATTTTGAGAGAAAAATTCATTTTGAACTTGTTTCGAAAACCTTATCTACTCAAAATGTCAGTCGAAATCCCCCCGATAAGATCATATTAGTTGCGGAACTGTTATAAATCAGTCAAGAAGTATGTAATTCTATGTTTTCACAATATTTGAGTGCTATTGGGTGATTTTCGAAGGACTACGATTCATTGGAGTTTCGGAAGAAATCACTTATTTGGGATTTCAAAACGGATATAGGCTACAGAATCTTGTGAAAAGACTCATTTTATCATTTCCATGCGTTTAAAATTCATTTTAGCCCATTTAAAAAATTTTCGAAAAATTGAAAATTTCGCAAAAAAAATTTTTCAAACAAATTTTTTTTTTTTGAAAAATGAGGAAACTTTGTCAGATTGTAGAGAAACCTTCAAAATGGCGATTGACACTCAAACAATGCCAAAAAACTCCCATTAACCTTTTCAAAAACTCACTCCAAAAGTGAGAAATTAGTACTGAAATCACTTAAAAAGCCCATAACTCGACTTTTAGAAATTTGTGCAGAAAACCAAATACAACACAAGAAAGCCCGTATTTGAATCTATGAATGAGCAAATTTAGAAAAAATTCTGAGATGAAGGCTAAACATGGTTCCCTTGTTAGCTCCAAACTTTTTTGTTTTCTTTTTAGAGTATTACAAAAGCATTTCAAAGGGGTTTAAGACGAATTTAGAGCTTAAAATTCAAATTCTGAAAAAAAAAATTGCAAAAACTTCGGGTTTTTTGGAATTTTTAAAGTGAAATTTCAGAAAAAAAAAGGTTTTGAAAACTTTTCAAAAATTTTCCAGAGTAAAAATCTATCAAAAAATCTACGATTGCTGCCCCCACCCATTTCCCGATGTCACCTATTTCATGGTCCTGCGACGATCACCAAGCTACTATATATTCAGGTAAGTCTAAATAATTACTGTATCTACAGTATCCCTTACAGCTTGGTTATCCCCTCTGCTTTCATCACAGTTGTTACCATTGTTGGTTTTTTCACACCTCATTCTACAACTGGGGAGAACACAGAGAAAGTTTCTCTTGGAGTCACTGCCCTGCTTTCCATGGCTATTATCAGTAAGTTGTATTACTGTAGAAATGTTTAAAATGAAATTTGACTTATAAATCAAGAAAGTTCATTAAAAACAGACCATTTTGAAGGGAGTTACAAGCGATTAAAGTTTCAGCGCGAGAGAGTGCGGTGAGGGAGACATTTT